ATAAATTTCTAACCGCCAAGATTCTCTATCATTGAAATGTTTCAAATGTGAATACTGCCGTTACATAACTAACCTATTCATTTTAGTTCCGTGGGGAAGAGCTTTTCGTCCCACAGGGAGAGACGATCGACACTCTCAGCGACATGGCATTTGTTGGCTTTCAACCGGACGAATTACGCATGATTGAAGAGGAGAGCGGCAGCAGCTCAATAAAGGGCCAACGACGATCCACGGACGAGTCTGCTAAATACAAATCGAAGAACCTCCATGCGGAGAGACGACGGAGGCAGAAGCTTAGTGATAGGCTATTATTATTACGTGCTACTGTCCCAATCATCACAAATGCAACCTCCCGAATCTCTTCTGATTAATCCTTTATTTTTCTAGTTTAGCACCTTCAAAACGTAGCCTTATTTTCTTATATTGATTAACTCGATCCTTTTAGATGAATAAAGCCACAATTATCGAGGACGCAATAACGTACATCCAGCAGCTGCAACAGAAGGTTGACATTCTCAAAGACCAGCTTGTCGAATTGGAGGCCTCATCTGAAAAAAACATATGGCCTACACCACGTGATATTGAAGCGCCAATAAACATCAAGAGAAGTTATATTCAGGTTCGCATGCTTATATAATTCACGAATGTTCTGCAATATTTCATCTTAAAAAGTTTTAATCATAACTCATGTGAGTTATTGCTGAAAACAGGCAGATGTGAGGGTTACTCAAATTGACGAACAAAAACTCTGGGTTAAGATACTTTTTGAGAAGCAAAAGGGCGCCTTCACTAAATTAATCCAAGGGTTGGATTCTTTTGGATTTGAACTCATTGATATTAGTGTCACAACAGTGAAAGGAGCAGTTCTTGTAACAACCATTATCAATGTAAGTCTTAATAACAACAATTCCTAAAATGTATAACCAACCCAGGTTTTATTTCATTTTTAACGTATTAGAGCAGGAGGTCTTTCTTCTTAACAGTTAATGAGATTGACAAAAGTTGTATTTATATATCTCATAAATTTGACAACAATTTTCTGGACTATAGTTTTTTTGTTCTTCTTCTTCTTGTGTTTGGAAGTTTTCGATCCTGCATTTATTTATTTAGGTTGGTTTGATAATAATATATATTTTGTTATTTTGTCTTTAGTAATTATGCTAGCTTTGTCTCAATATCTATAAAAATAGATTTTAAAACATGACTTCTTTTTAATTTTCAAAATATGTGATAGTGCTTCAAAGTTTAATTTTCAGAAATAGACATTTAAAAAATAAAATGATTTACAATGGGACTTATTTAAATATAGTTTTTGAAAAATAGAAGACTTGTATGCGTTTATTTATTTGTGGCATACATGTATTCATTACAACAGGACATACGCGATTTCTTACCCTATTGTCATAAATGTTAGAATTGCACACAAGCATGAGTGACTAACATTAATGTTAAAAATTGATTTCAAAAAAAAAAAAACATTAATGTTAAAAATCGAATAAAAAAATACAGTAATGTGTTATTTACTCCAGGGATTCTATTCAAGTGAGTCAACTTTACGCAAATATGTATGCTGCATTTACTCGAAGGACTAATTTTTGTTTGATGTCCAATTATATTTACCAGGGGTGTTTTGGTACATCAACGGTTCAGCACACCGAAGACTTATTGCTGGGCATCGTCAATGGGTTTTGAAGGCATTACTTTAGACACACACTTGACACGCCATTGAGATATTGCCCACTTGTTAAGGCTTTTTATTGCGTGAGAAGATACATTCAAAACTATTTATTGTTTTCAAGGTTCGATGTTTGTACCTTCAAGTTTTCTGTATCTCGTGCATACGACTTTTATTAGGAATATGTAACTGAAGTTGGTTATTCAACTTATTTTGGTTTAGTTTGATTTGTTAACCATGTGGTTACTCTCTGTTTTAGTATTTGTATGAGAGAGACAATTTGTATACTTTTAGAGGTGATATTAATAAAATTCATTCATTCCTCTCTGCATGACGTGATAACTTTAACAAATATTTCCTAATTAAAGCTACCAATTTCAGATTGTTTTATTTATCCTTTGTATTTTTAACTTCAAAAATCAATGGTCAAAGGTTTATCAAAATTGGTGATTAAATTAACTTCAAAGGCTCTGAGGCAACGACGGACTTTCCGATCATGTAACCTTTGAGCACAATCTTCGGTGGCGGTGGGGGTGGTTGATCTTTGGATTCCTCTGTTTTTTTTTCCTCCTTCTCGGGTGTGGATTCCCCTATTTTTTTCCTCTTTATTGTCCTTGTCTTGTCCAGCCACTGGTTTCTTAATTTTCATTTTCTGGGCCAATCTTTCTCCTAGTTTCTTCTGTCGGGCTTCTTTCTTCTCTCCCACAAACTCCTATCTATCTCTCTTCTTTCATTTGGTGGGTTAGGGTTAGATGGAGGAAGAAGAAATAGAGACGGTAGATAGGTTTGGATTGACCTGGAAATTGTCATTTCCACCGGCTGAAGGGGAGAAGAAAAATGTATTTTTAAACAAGAAAAATCTTTGATGTCAAGTCATCGATCTGTTATCTATTTAATGGTTAACGGTAGTTAACAGCAGGAACCAAAATAAATCAGTTTAAAAGTACAAGGATTAAGTATAGGAACGAAAATGAACCCAACTTCAAAGTACAGTGACCAACATAGTATTTTAACCAATTGAATAATATTTCGCCACTAACTAGTTAGTACAAATCTTTCTACATGAAAAAGGTTGAACCAAAGTTAAACCAAAATTTTCTTTAACAATTTAGCTCACAGAAATTTTAATACCAATCAATCAACAAAGGGAAATAAGCTCAAACAAGGAAAATGAGAAGAACACGCAAAAGTTATAGTGGTTCGCGCAGATGGTCTACATCCCTTGAGCATCCACTGAGCAAGGCGAGTTACTGTCTTTATTTACATCATTGTTAAATCGAACTATTATTACAATGGGAATTGATATCCCGCTAATTGATACAAAATAATTTTGGGTTAATAGAGCCAAAAGAGGAGAAAAGAACTAGAGAACACCTGGGCTAGGACTGCCATAGGGCGCCATGACGCTACAAACCTAGAAGGCACGACTGCAGAATGTTAGTTGTCGAGAAGGAAGAGCCTAGGCTCGCCATTCGGGTGCCTAGGCACTGTCCCGCTGCACCACAACACTACGTCTCCGATTCTGCCCAGTATTTCATTTTATGAGTCCCTTTTCTTTTATGCTTTGTATTAGACATAGAAGTCCCTATAAATAGGTGGTTTGAGACTTGTATTCATTAGTACAAAATCCAAATAAAAGAGACTTGAGTGGTTATGCGAAGTGTGCGAAAAAGAGTGTATTCCGTGGGTTTAGTGTGAGTGTTTTCAATTGTGTAATCCTAAGAAGCCATTGTTAGGGTGAAGCAAGATGGACATTATATAATGATATCTTTGAGTGAGAAGTCTGTTTATGCAAGAATATGCACAACAACGTATTTCAGATTGCAACTCGAACTCGGCTTCCGGGCCGATCTGAACACTTGCGCGGACCTGCACAAAAAGGTGAGCACTCCGACGATCAAGTCAGTATAAGTCGGATTC